TAAAAGTTTCAAGTTTCACCTGGAATGAAAATGAAGTATTTTAGAAAGGGAACAAACAAATGCTTAGCAGTTTAGAAAATGCTAAAATGAGATGGACACTTCTATAAATAACATTAGCAACATATGGAATGCTGATGTATTTTCATATACATTTGTAATCAAAGACACAATTGCTATGTGTGGAATTGCTCTTGACTCTCATTTTTTATTCTCCATTCAAGGTAAGACTTTTAAGGGTTGTTCTCATTCTTCTGATACATTTGCATGTTGCATAGACTACGTAGGTACCTACTGATCCACTACAACCTTGTAATAGACTTGTCAAGGGAATTTTGAGTGAAAATTTTCTCTATATTTTTGGAGTGCGTCCTGATTACTACTGTGGTGGGTTTTTTTTGTTTGTTTGTTTTTTAAATTAATTTATTATTGTCATATAAGAAAAGCACCAAATATTTCACTAAAATGAAGAATCAATGTGTAACTGACGTTAATGTACAGGGCGAAAAATACATCATTTTCCATTATGTCAAAGACAATGTTATTGTTTCCAGCCACATTCTAGTCATAAATTTCAACTTTCTGTTAAAAGTAAGAAGTGCAAGCTTTCAGAAAATTGCAATCCAGATTTGCAATGAGAACCAGACATTTTTGTAAAGTGCAGTTTGCAAACCTAAAACTGTTGTTCTAGTCAATGGAAAACAGAGATGAAATTGACTTTAAAAATGAATTTTTATCTATTTTTATTTAAAATTTTATGGAAACACAAAGGAAACTAGATGAATCGGAACAGAAAACCTTCTAAACAGTAATTTTTCTTCATTGTTTTTTTTTTTTTTTTCTTCCTGCTTTTGGCTAGATTAAATGCAGGGAAATAAAGCACACTTGGAGCGCATTTCCTCACTTCCACATCTGCTCTGTCCAGGTTTCCCTGAGAAGTACAGGCTGCTAAAAATGATAATGTTTTTTTATCCAACAACATATTAAACTTCTATCTACTTGAGGCAGATCCGTAGAATACAGAAGCAGCTGGATCCAGCTGAGGCAGGGAGGTGGGTTGGGGGAGGGTGATAAGCAGGCAATTTTTGTGGCTTCTGTAGAAGCTGTGACAATAGAGTGAGACTATCCTACAAGCCATTTTCACTTTATCTTTTCTCCTGGGCTACATATCTTCCTCCTAATATTTTCATAATTTATCACATCTGTAAGATACGTCTTGCTGGCACAATGCTTTTGGATCATGGACCTTACATTCATAACTGATTCTTCAATGGGTTATCTGTGACTTCTTTTTCATAGGATATCCAAAACTTTAGAATTCAATTCCTTGACTTTCATTCTTCTTCATGCTGCTCTCCAAAAGGGTATCTGACAATTTCTGCCCATTGATTTTTTTGTGCTATCTATACTCATTTTACAGCTATACTATGTGATTTTACTAAAAAATAAGGGCTAAACCTTTTCTTCTAACTTAACTTGTAAATCAGAGAAAATATGCTATACTTTGTGAAGACCACTAGCTTTAGCTTTTCAGATGAAAGTTAACAATTTGGATCAAAACCAGCTCCACTCACTTTTGCAGGCATTTGTAGCTACTATTTTTATAAAAAAAATTGCCAAGGATAGAATGTTGTGTTGCAAGCAGTGAATGCATACAAACAAAAATTACATTTTTGCCTATAATTCTAGATTTCCTACTTCTGGAATGTACCACTTGCTAAGGACAGGCAATAGATAGATATACAGATGCAATAGATCAATAGGGCAATAAATAATCCCTGAACCAAGGGATCTTCTCCCAAGAAAGATGTGCTGATCTACTGTGAAGTTTATAAAACACAGGTAATTTTTAGGCCTTGCTTTTTGCTCTAAGGGTAACCTGATGTGATATGGTCTCACTATGATAGGATCTCATGACATCTGAGGCTGCAGGCCAGGAGCAGCGAGGGGTGTGTTTGGGAGGAGTTTGCTGTTGCTCCTGCTGCCACCACTGTTTCCTCCAACAGTCACTGCAGTGGCCTTTCTTAGTTTGAGATGTGAAAAAAGTGCAGTGTTATCTCCCTTAAATTGTTGTTGTAAGTATACAAATCATTAGCCTCTCTTTAATTTGTTTCTTAAGAAATTCAGCATTTTGCTGGATTCTCGTTAATACCTAAAAATGCATCAAGTGCAATTTTAAATATCAAAGAGGAAAGATTATTTCTCTCTTCTGTATAAATAACATGTTTCTTGGCTTTTTAGGACTTCGTTCTGTGTTCATTTTAAGTTCCATGCATCATGTTCTTTGTGGAAATAATTAAACGGTTTATCACCTTATCATCTGCTGTGACACTTTTTTGTTTTTCTTCTTCTGAGTAATGCAGGAAGAAATGTCTGATAAGTGACATTCTTTATTTTGACAAAATCAAAATCAGAGTGGTAAGTTAGCTGGAATTACAATAAGACAGAGCACCAAGTGTATCAGCACACTCACTTCTCTTACTCACTTATATTTCAGTCTTATGCACTGTAATAAGTATTAATTGAGTAAAGTATTTTTAAATACAGTGATGTGAATGAAATTGTACAGGTAACTGCTGCTTAGATTACTGAATATCATTAATTATGCCAAACTTTACAAGCATGAGGCTGCATTTAAGATTAATCATTTGTCATTTCAAATATAATTGTTTATTATTGCTTACCTTATGGAAAAACAAAAGCTATACTAACTTTATTTTGGCTGTTTATTGGTTAGTGTGTATATAGTATATGGACATAACATCAAATATAAGACGTTGTTTAATTAAACCTACTGCTGTGTGATAGGAACAATGTCCTATTAATAGATAATGAACATTTTTCTGTAGTTGAAATGATAGATCTTGAACTTTTAGAGCAGATGTCACAGACTTTTAAGAGAGAAAACTGCGTTAATCTCAGTTTGTAATAGGATCATTCCAGCTATCCAAAATCAGAGAAGTAGAGAAAATTGAGAGTAATGTCCCACAGGATTGTGTAATTAGTAACACCTGCAGGCTCTCACTTCTTCTCTGACTTTATGCTAACTTTCTTCTAGTCTACGGTCTGCAGCAAACCTGTGATAACTGGGGAAAAAAAAGGTGTCTGGTTGGAGTTTCATTGTACAGACATCTCAAGGACAGAGGTAGAGTAGTTTAAACACCAACTCTTGCTCAGGGCTATGCCTCAGGGTGCAGCTGAATGCACAGAATTGCACTAGAAACATTTTCAGATACTGTCTTTAAAAATAGGGTAATAGCCTGTCCTAGTTCCATATTTCATGATCTCTCAGCCATTTACCACACTAAGCAATGCTAGTAGATCATATAAGCACTGGATGCTTCCACAGAACATGAAAAAACCTCTAGTGAAACACATGAATTTTCCCTTTGGATAACCAGCCTGTGCAACTGAACATGATAAACCAATATTAACATGCCTTAGAACGTAAAAAAGTTCTCACATAATGAAACTAAGGAATTACAGCATATGAATTAGCTCTATAGTGAGGTCAAGGGACCTTATTCCATTTCATTCCCTTCTGAAATACACAGCATTGAAACTGAACTTTTGCAAATACAGATGGGCTTCCTGAAATGATCAACTGACTGCCTAAGATTCAGTTGTACTGTGTTTATATTTAAATTCAAGCTTTATTATTGTTCCATAATGTATTTCTGTATTTAATTCATGAATTCTTTTGGTGGCATGGCGGTTTAGCACACTTGCAAAATTGACCAAAGCTTTCTTTGGCCTTGAAACTAATGGGAAGAGGGGGTGCTGTCATTTTCAGATCAAATAGTCACTAGGGTATTTTTGTTTGCTTTGTTGTGTTTTGTTTCTGCTCCTATTTTTGCTTTTCTCTATTATTTCAGCATAGAAGTGTGTTATGTCTTATGGAATTATATTCAGAATATAAAAAGTTAAGTCCAGTAATTGTAAACTTACTGAAGAAATTAGCATAGCTTATGTCAGAAAGAAAGTTACATAAAAATTTATTAAACCAATGCTTCACCAAATTTTGATGAAATACAAATCACTTATCCTGTTTAAGATGCAGCATAGTAATTTTGTTGGAATTATGGTACTCTTCATTCTTAAAGGATCATCAAATGATTCAGGTTGCTCCGGAAGTAATGCCTCCTATTTTATTATGTTGGCCAATGACATCAGAGACAATGTTGGTGGTACGACTGTAGATGTCGAGTCTTCACACCAATGTTCCATTATGCTTTGTTATTGTGTAACAGATGGCAGCAGAGAGGCAGTTTAGCAGAATAGCATCTGACATGGAAGTGAGTATGAAGATAAGGTGTGGAATTGAATTCCTCCATGAAAAAAACTGCACCCACTGACATTCAGTAACACTTGCTGAATTTTTATGAAGACCAAAAAGTGGATATGAGCACAGTGAAGCAGTGGGTGTTGCACTTCAGCAGCAGCAACATGGAAAGACAGTCACATTATGGAAGGCCGTGCACAGCTATTGTAATATCATGAAATGAAAAGCATCTCAGTTATCTCATCTGTGCAAATTGGCTAACAGTGGTGGCTATGTTGAAAAAAGTGTTTTGTAGCTGAGAATTTGCTCTAGCAAATAGTGTTAGTTTGCTCTGTTGTAGTTTTCATGGAAATAAATAAGAGGCATTATTTTCAGAGCAACCTTTGTATACCTCAATAATACTGGAAGAGCTGAATCTAAATTGAAAGTATGTTTGTATTTCTGCTGGTATGTGGAGGCTGTTACTGTGAGACTACTGCTGGCCATCAGGGCTTTCTACTAGAACTACCTAACAGATCAGACCTGCAAAAAATGTCCTTGCCATTTCCATGTGCACAGAATCTGTTCCACCTGAACTCTGGTTAACTAATTTCAGAAGAAGAGCTGTATCTAAACTTTATGGGTATTTTTAAACTTCATTGACAAGGTCAGTATGTACAGAAATGCCTTTTCCTTCCTAACAGATTTTCTGTGAGGGGGCTTGGGGACAGGAAGCAGCTTGTTTCTTGTGATTACTTGCTGCTCTACTCTTCTGAAAAAGAATACTGCAGTCGTATGTTGCCTGAGCCATGAGATCTACATACTGTATCTGTCTACTTTCAAAGCACCTATTGCTACATAGAGGTATGTTTACTCTGTATGCAGTAAGTATATTGGTAGTGAACTATGCTAAGATGAGAAAATGTGCTAAAAGAACAAGAGATTCAACTGAAAAGGAACTGCTTAATAAAATTTCTACTTTAAGATAGCAGCAAATTACGGCCATAAAATTCTCCACAAAGGTAAATAGGTTTAGTTTATGGAGAAGTTAAAGGACACTCAAAGCTCAAGATGATTTCATGAAATATACTCCATCTCATTTTTAAAAACAAAACAAAAAAAAACCACACACAAAAATGTAGCTAGGCTACACTTCATTAAACTGTATACTTCATAACTCTCACACGTATATGGCAGTTTCTGTTCTGCTTCTTAGAGACTATTTAATAGTGAAGCGCCATAGGAAAGTCTCCCATTATGAAGACTTCATTATTTTTCTAGTGACGGTGCCAGTGCATCATAAAATAGCATAATAATTAAAAACTAAAACTAGTGTCAGTAGAAGAAAAATGAATGAAGAATTCACTGATGCAGAATATCTTTATTTAGTGTTTATTACCTTACTAATTCATAAAACCGTTACAATGGTTATTGCTATCTTCATTAGTATGTGAACTCGCAAGGTGATTAACAACAGTAAGTACAAATAAAGATCAGGAAATTAATAACCAGGATGATGAAAACAGCTTTTAAAATCTGGGATTATTTATCTTTCCAATTTTAAATAAATAATAAAAGAGAAAAAAACCTATTTTTACTTCTGCATTTTATTTCTGCTAATTACTGCACAAATTACATTGAACACATTGTAAAGAGAAATGGATAATTACTCAAAAGCAATTAAAGATTCTAAGTCTGTATAGTAATTATGATTATTTTCTTTGGAAAATAAGAGTGCCATTTATCTTTAATGTATGCTATGTAATTAAGACTATATGCAGTTATCTTATCATCCACTTCCAAAGGGGATTGTCTTTTAAAATATTTGGCAAGAGTGAAAGTAGTTGTGTACAGTGGGACACTCTTATAAGTAAAGAATGTTTTAAAGTAAAGAATGTTAGTCATAACTTCAGTATTCCTAATCTGCAGTTTCCTAATTTGTTTATACTTAGTGACTTCCATCATGACTGACCTAATACTAGACCTGACAGTCACTTCTCTTGCTCTTCTATGTCTCTATGAATTCTCTGTATTTTACTAAATTCCTCAGCTTCTGTTGATCTATTTAACTGTCCCAGCCAAGTGTCTACTCATGACTTTGTAAAGCTGAACTTTATGCAGTTTTGCTTAAGAAGTATTTGAAAGATTGCTGTGCAGCAAGAACTGTGCTCCAGTTCTTCATTCCTGAGCAACTTCTATAGTCAGATAAGGAAAGGGGCAAGAAAAAAGTGGCCTTTCAAAATAGTTATTAATGTTTAAGCTGATGAGTAACTTTACATTGTTCTTTACCCACATAGTTTATCTCCTTCTATGCAGATCTTTCCAGGCTAATCCTTCCCTAGCTTATAGAAAGAAATTCTGCAACACTAATACTGCTGAATGCAAGAACGCACAGAGCTTGACTTCTGGAAGAGGTCACTAAGGGATGTGATCCAATGTGCTCCACATCTACTGGAAATGCAGCTGTAGTATTAGCATGCTTTGGATTGGGTTATATCATTGAATCATATATGGGCAATAAATAGAATAACTCCTAACACCGTGCTGACTTTTCCTGTGGCTCTAAGGTAGTCACAAAAGGAAATATCCAATGATAACTGAGTTCTCTCCCAGTGACACACAGCTTGGCTATATTAGCAACCTGTTGATCTCATGTGAAGTCCCTACAATGCACTACCCAGGAGCAGCATGAACATCCTGAGAGGGTAGACTTTTGTGGAAGTCTCAAAATGGAGAAAAATAATTCTAAATCAGAAGATCTGTAGCTCTTCCTCAATATGATGATCTGACATAAATATAAGCAACACATACTCTCTTAATGATTGTGGATGAGATTTCAGCAACACTTTTTTGGGAGTCCACTATGGAAATTGTGAGTTCTCTTGTAAGCTATTACTTGCTCCGTTTTTGTTCTTGGAATGACACAGTTTTTCATCTTTAAATAACATATGTTGAGTCCAATTGGGAAGTATTTTGACAGTATGTGCCATACTCTTGATTCTTTATGAAACAGAGTATGGGAATTCTGTGCTGTTCACAGCACCAATTCAAAGGGAAATTGGAAATCACTTTAGCACTAAGCATTTTCAAACCTGATGCTTCAGAGACTGTCTCTCAACAATAGTGATGAAGAATCACGTTAATTAACAGTTAAGTAACAATTATTATCCCTGTGGCATCAAAAGACTTCACATTTCTCTTTAAATTTAGTACATCAGATTATCATTTAAAAAACAACAGTATTTTATAATAATGTAGAGCACCTGCCTGACCTGAGCAAAACAAAATATTGTTGAAATTCGAGACCTTGGTTTTTTAACAAGACATCAGCCAACTTTAAGTATGGTTGCTGGACAGAGTCCACCAACAAATAACAGAAAAGGAGTGAATTAAATACTGCCAGGTCACATTCTTTTGGATGACTGACTGAGATATCTGCCATAAATGTGCCATTTGGAAGTGAGAGAAGGCAAGTAGACTTCTTGAAGGTAGACAAGACAGCTTGTGTCTTAGTGCTGTTGAAGAGATGCCTGGGAAAAATGCTGGTGGGTTGTTGCACTCTGCAGAGATCTGCTGCACTGTATCTGTGATTTTGAGAAAGAGTCCAAGAGCAGGAGTAGGGTGAGAAGCCAAGGCCTGACCTGAAAGGGGAGAGCTAAGGGCTTCTTGCAGTTGCATGGAAACAGTGAGCACACACTTTGCCATTGTAGACATTCAGTTGCTGGAATCATCCAGCCATTACAGAAATCCAGCCATTGGAGCAGGTCAGCAATTGGAACTGTTGAGCAGTGAGCAAGCATGACAACATGGCTCTGTTTTGGGGACTGATTTTGCATTCAGCAGCAAGTAACGACCTGGAAACAGCTGGAAGAGGAAAGTCATGGTCTTTTCATATCTTGTTGAGCTTTTATTTTGTCAACAAGTATGAAGCCATAAAGCCCAGAGATAAAGATGACCACACATAAATTAGGGCTGCATTCCATGATGTAGTGTATTCTTTATGTAGGTAGTTCTTGGCATATTTATTACTGTGTTACTGTAACTTCCTGAGGTGGGCTTTTTTTTGCTACAGTTCTGAAATGCCCAACACAGCCAAACAGTAAGGCTGTAAATAGAGCCCATGGAACTTTCTTTTATGAAATGTACGGCAATGTGAATATTTAAACACAAAAAGTAAGAAATTTATCACCCTGAGTATCTAAGTCATTACTGAAGTAAAATGTTGGGTTATATACTATTTATCTACTCTATACAAACATCCTAGAGTAGTTATGAAACAAGTGGTTATATGCTGTTTTATTTATGTATTCTGTTAAACAGTGCTCTACAAAGATAGCAAAAAATGTGTATTAGTACTAAATCTAGCCATGCAGTTTAAAAAGATTTCTGGATTTCACCACAATGACATTCTATGCAAATAGAATTTAACACATGTAAAATTAATTTGAAATAAACTACTGCGTCATATAGCAGTTACATATGAACATAATGAAGGTCTAATCATTCCATAGTGAGGCTCTTAACAGATTGTCCTCCAAATGAATGCACTTAATGTTTAACTCTTTCTTTGGCATTACACATCAGAAGTTCAGCATTTCTAAATTTTTAATTGGTATGTATGCCAACCATTTCCAATTAATATATATATAGTTAAATAACTAAATCAGTGTTTAAGCTCCTTTACCAAAACAAATCCAGCCACATACAACGGCAGTTTGTTAGTGGTCCCTTTTCAGAAATTGCTGGTCTCAGCAATTCTTGATAATTGTGCTCTTCTTGCTTGGATGCCTACAGTCAGTCACTCTATGTTCTGATTCAGTAATATAAAACAATAATCTTCCTCTAAGAATATCTCAGTGAAGTTGGATTAATCAAGGACTAAACAGATCACCACTGTAAAGGGAAATTCCATTTTTTTTCAAACGTCTGAGGAGAAACATTTAGCTACCTTGTAGAAAGGCTCTTCTTTCAGCAGGTTGAATGTTGTTATCAGCAAAATGCAAGAAAGATTAAGGATCCTTCTTTTTTTTTTTTTTGATTTCTAGATTCAAGTCAATCTTTTCTCAGCCAATATTTTGTGGGAAAATATACCTGAGTTTGAATGATACAGACTGTACAAATAACTGTGTTATAATAATGAGTTTAAATGGAATCTGAGAAGTTATTTGTCATTCATAAATAAAGTCTGAGAAAGAATCAGAAAGAATATATATCTTACCTTGGAACTGCAATGGTGCTATTTTTTGTCATTTCACTCCAGGTTAATTAATTCCATATTATATACTAAAGAGAATGAAAGACATATGTCCCTGTGAACTCAATATTTGTCACACTGCTACAAGAAAATGGATTTCTCTAGTTAGGTGTTGATGATATTATTGTGCTACCTACTACATTGTGCTATATCTATTACATATATATATCAGCAGTATATTGTGCTACCTACCAGGGGGAGATAGTGTGGTTCTTGTGGGCAACTTCCTGAGGGCTTAATAAGTTCTGATTATGTACTTGGAGCTGTGCAGCTTTGCTTTAGAATGCTGATAAGTCAAGGTATGAAAATATTCATAGTTTTACTGTCTACATGTATTCAGGAGCCATATGTTGCATGTAGCAGATCACAGAGGAGAAAAGAACTCTTAGAAGTCTTACCATACCCCTCAGGGATCCCTTACCTCTAGTGTGGAGCTGGGTTGGCTGGGCCAAACAAGCAGCAAGTGCAGCTATAGAAGCTGCAATGGTACCCACACTGCTCAAGGAGTTCCAGCTTGGCATCCTGTGTGGGGAAACAGAAATGTGGTTCTTCCCATTTGTTCAAAGGTTCCAGTTTAGAAAGATCATATAAAGTGAGTAAAAATACTTCTTTAAAAATGCATCAGAAAGTACATGAAAGACTCTGTGACAAATCAAAGAACATGCTGCATATTTTAAAACTTCTTTTCAAAGGCATAAAGCATATAGTTATATATATATATATATAACTACATATAGAAAATATATAGTTTTAATACTATTCACTTCATATACACAGCTTAAAATAATTTTGCAGGGAATTAAGTGTTGCATCAATAATCATTAATGATTGCCAGTGTGTTATTGTACAATAAATGGATCCTTCCCCTAATTACTTCAAGGCAATAATGCTTTCATTTTTATTGCAGTAATTTTTAAGCTATTGAACAAGAACCTGATACTGTAGTCTGTGGAGCTACAGGCATATTATTGGTGATGGTCCTATCAGTGCACTAAAGTGAAATGTTTTCTCTTCAAACTAAGCATGCTAGTCTTTGTCAGCGTGAGATACACTACTGCACATAATGAAATCAATTTCTTTTTTGAGATTCCTTAGATTAAGGTAGGCAACATGCTGCTACCTTCAGTGAAGAGACTGGTACATCTTACCTGATACAATCTTGATATGATGAAAGATCAGTCGTGCAAAACTTTGGTCAAGCCATGCTGAAAAATAACATCTTTCTGTTCACTGGTTATTTGCCATCCCTGACTCCATATCAAGTTCTTGTCAAAAACACTTCTCTCCAGCAATGAGCACTCCATGGTTAAGGTCACGTTTGAAAACAAACTGCTTGTTTCTATTTCATAAATTATGACAAACTGTAGAAGCCATGTGTATTGATTGTCACTTGCCCATTTTAGCACTGATGATCAAAAAGTATGCATCACTAGTTCTGACGGTGTTCTTTTGCTAATATAAACAGAAAAATGTATTAAATATACAGAATTGACAAATTCCTTCAAAAACTGCTGCAGGTGGGTTCCCATTTGTTTTTCTTCACTGCCTCAGAATAAAAGAAGGCAAAAATACTTAAAGACATACATGAGAAAGGACTTTTGCTTCTGGGACTAGTATGGCATAGTATTTCCTTCAGGCACAGGAATTAATTGAAACAGTATATAGCTACTCTGACTGTACTGAAATTTCTTATAAGCTTTAAAATAGGTGGCTTTTGGGGGGTTAGAAAAAGTTAAACTTACTTCAACATTTACTGAATTTGGAGTTCTGAGTATCAGCTGTAACTTTGTTTTTAGTACCATTGCTGCCAGGCAAAATGGGAGAAATCTGGGTTTGGAAGGAATGCGTGTCAGGAGTCATTAAATATCTCTTAGGGTGCTGAAGCTATTCAGCTCTTTTTTTTTTTTTTTTTCCTAAATTCATTAGAAATATTCAAGGAATAAAATATGGTTTCTTAGCTGCAGTCATTGTGCTCCTCATCATTTCCTTGAAGATACAAGCACCTTATGACTTTTGATTAAGATGAGGGAATGTGAAAAATGAGGACAGCATCAAAAAGCTGGAAAACTGGAAAATGTTCAATTATTTAAACAAAGATTTTTTCTTTTGCTTAGTAGATACATATTTAACATTAAAATTCCTGATCAGAAACATTATCTTTCATCTCATTTTTTAACTTGCTGGTGATTTTCCTAATCACAAAATGAGTTTTTTAAATCTGCTTTAGCTCTAATTTGCTCCTCTCCCATCTTTTCCACTTCTAAGCTTGTCCTCAAATAGTAA